TGTTTGTGGTTTTCTAGGTTTGTGCTGAGTTTCACCATATCAGAGAAAGTGGCACACACCAGCAAGATTTCACAGATGCTGCATGACATTCGAAATGTTTGATCTTCAGGTGAGTGCAGATTCACAAACACTAACTACCTCCATCACTGTCTTCATTGTATATAAAATAAAGTTGGCCTGCTTGTTTAACATTTACATGTCAACATACTCTCCCAGTGTACGTGTGTGAGGAGAACTGTTCTTCAGGACATGACATGTAAGTATTAAGTGCATTAATAGATCTGAAATAGAGTGGGGGAACTGACGTCAGAACCAGGAATTGTAATTCGCCGCGAGTTCCTTTGAGATTTTCCAATGGTTTTTTTTCAATTTATGAATAAAATAAAGCCTGTGGTAAAACTTGACAATACTTCTACATTTTGTTCTACATTATAAATGGCACACACTCACAGCCTAAACCTTCTTATCTAGCTACTTATTAAAAACATACGTTTTCAAAAATGAACATAACTGCTAAAAAAATTGTATTTTGGGTATGGATGTGTGTAATTTACATAGTACAACAAAATGTAAAAGTATCGTCAAGTTATGTTTACCACAGGCTTTATTTTAATTGAAAAACCCCATTATAAAACCCCATAGGAAAACCTAGAAGGAACCCACGGTGAATTACTCTTCAGGGTTCTGACGGTATAGTTCCCCCACTCTATTGGCAGTAAATATAAATGTCTACTTTTATTCTCTGAAGTTAAAGTTAAAGTTTTACCCTCTGTGCTTATTCCAGGAGGAATTGGGTGTGCCAGACATCACTGACACAAACACCTCTTCTGCTGATTTTGTTATCATGGACAACGAAACCACTACAAACATCTCATGAACACTTGACAATAACTGTGGAACACACACTATTTATTCACTCATACCCTTATTTATCTAACACTCATACTCAGTCTACATTTCAATTTGCACATAATATACCTGTACATACAACTGTCTATTGTTATATACCTGTACATACAATTGTCGATTTGTATATTTTTATTCCTTAGTTACTTGTTCTATTTTTCTATTTTTTATTATCTGTGTTTTTGTTCTGTCACTGTCATTCTGTTACACTGTGGAGCTTCTGTCATGAAAACAAATTCCTCGTATGTGTAAACA